ATCAACTGCATTCAATGTAGAATTCCAAAATAAAAGATAATGTACAACTTTTCATCAGCTTTCAAATGACTATTAAGTTCATAGTTTTCTTTTTACAAAGGTAAAAACTACATTACACAAATTTGTGCAGTTTTTTCATACATCCATTAACTTGGTCTAAAGCATAATTATTTTTAACATTAGACCTACGTGTGATATGACCATGCTATGATGTCAGTCAGGTGATGACTCTCATATGGACGATGGATGGATGCTGTTCTTCTAGATAGAATGAGTGGGAGGGTCAGTGAGGTCAGCAATACCTGAGTTACTGTACTACAACCTGACATACCTGAGTTACTGTACTGTAATATAAACAATAAAACAGATTACAGACACAACATAACATTAATATGATCCATTTACCAGAGACAAAACGGATAGTTCTCACATGTAGCAATTTCTTTAAAGCTTAAATCTACCTTAAATTCTAAGTCAACCAAGAGAGAGAGAGTTTACAAACATTTAACAAAATACCTCATGATGACACTTCATACAATGTTCATACAACATCGGCAAGATGATCATGGATCTTCGGTAGAGGTGGCATCAGAAGGAGACAAATTGGAAATATAGGCATTGGTGGATGAAAGTCGTGTATTTTTTTTTTTCTCTAAAAATTTTTTAAAATAAGTAAAAAAAATTTTTAGAAAGGAAAAAAAAAATTANACTACAACCTGACATACCTGAGTTACTGTACTGTAATATAAACAATAAAACAGATTACAGACACAACATAACATTAATATGATCCATTTACCAGAGACAAAACGAATAGTTCTCACATGTAGCGATTTCTTTAAAGCTTAAATCTACCTTAAATTCTAAATCAACCAAGAGAGAGAGAGTTTACAAACATTTAACAAAATACCTCATGATGACACTTCATACAATGTTCATACAACATCAGCAAGATGATCATGGATCTTCGGTAGAGGTGGCATCAGAAGGAGACAAATTGGAAATATAGGCATTGGTGGATGAAAGTCGTGTATTTTTTTTTCTTTCTAAAAATTTTTTAAAATAAGTAAAAAAAATTTTTAGAAAGGAAAAAAAATAATAATAATAATAATAATAAAGACTGAGATTTGAACCCTGAACGACTTGGCGGTAACCAAGAACACTATTGACTGAGCCGCTCAACAGCTGCCAACCTAATGAAACTTACTAGTACATAAGCTGAGCTCGAATTTTTAATTGTCTTTTTCTCAAAATTGGCTGGCCATTGCACTTTCTTGTTTTGAGAGTTGAACACCCAAATGGAGTACTACCTATATACCAAGTCTCATCCCAAAGTGAATTTCTTAAGTTGTGCCCTCCCCTTGTTAATGTGTTCTAAGTTCGAGTTGTGTCCGGGATAGCTGATATGAGCTGTCAAATGGCTAGAAAATATCAATAATTCTGCTGAATTGTCTGCAATTCAGCAGAATTATTGATATTTTCTAGTCATTTTATGACTCCTCTTACCTCATAATTTCATCGGTTTTGACAGTTTTCCCTCATTAATAATCAAATGTTTTGACTAAGATTGTAACATAAGTCTAAACATCATAATGATTGTTGACTCCAAGGGATATTTAATCATTTGTCTATTTCTTGTATCCATGTATGACAGAAATATGAGGTGTTGGGGAAAAACTGTGATTGTTCCACTTTCTTAATCAATCATGTATTAATGTTAATTAACCTTGAACCTCTCACATATGTTAAGTCTATAAACTATTTTCCTAGCTTCAGCTTAAATAAAAGAATAAAAAAATGGAAGGCTGAACAGAATTTCAAAGCTATCAAAATTAAGTTGCATTTACACAGAAAACATGCCTTGCTATTATTGGTTCAATGATTTGGTACCAATAACAGCATGCTTTGCAGCTGTTATTGATACCAAATCTTTTATTCTTTGATTTTTTGCAAAGTTTTTTAAGCCGTCAAATTAGGACAATGTAAGTAATCATTCATCAATAATCATAATAAAAATCTAAAGAAGAAAATGAGGTTGCAGATCCCTAAGACTTACCAAGGGTACCAGAACCAGAAGATACACATGACTGTCACACTACATCCAGATACTTGTTGATAGATGGACACTGCATTCTTTTACCTCAGATGAATGGTTTAGTGAAACTTCTGTTCTTCGGCAAGTAAAAAAAAATTACAATTTTGACAAGACACACAACCTTAAATTGTACTAGCTAGCACCAGTTCAGAATAAAAGGCAGGTCTGAAGTTATACTGAAACATAACATTATATTATCTTTTTAATAATTATAATTTATTTATTGATAAAACTTTTATATCAAGAGTAAAAGACTACTAAAAGATGATTTATTTAACTTCTTTTAAACCAAGTATAATTTTGAGCAGGAGTCTTTTTCCAATTTTTTTCAAACTACATAATTGTAACCATCATTCAACCTCGTTAACATATTTTTTTAAAAATAAATTTCTCTGCTATTCTGTTTGGATAATTGATTTTGTAAGCTAATCCTAAAAATAAGCTGATCACTTTTAAAAAAGTTTGGAATAAAAATATTTAAATGGAAACTTTAATTAGAAAATAATTTGATTGAGTTACTTTATAATAATCATACATATTAAATAGTAGATGCTAAAATATTCTTCTCATTACAATTTGAAGATGAATGAATAAAAACAGAATATTTCACTAGCTTTTTCTAACTTGCAATTTTGATTATCAGAGCCCATTCATTTATAATATTGTAATTAAATTTTGTTTTTCAGTACTCCATTTTGTAATACAATAATACCCTGAAGTTACACAATAGGTGGATGTGATAAAAATCACTTAAGTTGAATTCATGAAAGTTGGTACAATTTTGCAGGGTACAAACACTGTAAATGCATATAAATTCTGTTTAATTGGGACCAAGGACTAACAAAAATACTGGTTTAGAAGAAAAATATTTAATAAAATTGCAATTCTTTACACATATTAATGCAAAATATTTAAAAAAATAAATGAGTTATGTGAAACAGTTATTTCAATGTTGATGGCTGCATAAAATCATCTGATGATACAATACCTTCTTTTTTCCATGCAGAACTTTATAGCAAGCTAATAATTTTTTTTTTATTCCTTGCTTTGTAGTTATAACGTGTTCTTTGTTGGCATCTATGTTTCCTAAAATTTTTAAGCTTTTTTCAATTGAGCTGAGATCTTCTTTCAAGCTTGCAATTGTCATATGCTTTTCTGGTGGAACTGAGCCTGAAGTATTGGATACTTCTATGATGTTTTGCTCACGCTTCTCTATGAGCTCATCAATTTTCAGCTCTTGACTATGTGAATCCAACAGCTTGTTGACATCATAACCATTGACTTCCAGATCTAATTGCCTGGCAAGATTAACTACTACTTGATCACATGAGTAACGTGGTCAGCTTCTAGCATTGTTTCCATCTTATTTTTGAAAAAAATGGACAAAGTTTCTTCCAGACACCTTTCAATGTTTTTTTGGAAATTTCATCCAAAGCTTTTCTAGTAATTCTTATAGTATGTAAAACGTTGAATTGTTTCCAAAAGTCTTTAACAGATGTCTTACTGTTTTGCCTCATATTCAGATGTGCAAACGAACACCTCATGTAGTAAGCCTTGAATGTTTTGATGACTTGAATGGAATCTGTTTAAACTCGCAATAATGTTTGACTTCAGGTATGAAGTGGTGACAAAATCAGCCCTCAAAAAATGGAAGCTGTCANTTACTGTTTTGCCTCATATTCAGATGTGCAAACGAACACCTCATGTAGTAAGCCTTGAATGTTTTGATGACTTGAATGGAATCTGTTTAAACTCGCAATAATGTTTGACTTCAGGTATGAAGTGGTGACAAAATCAGCCCTCAAAAAATGGAAGCTGTCAGCCAAGCCTTAAGATTTGACTTTCAATCACTGTTAAGCCAATTTTAGATATATTTTTTAAGGCTCTTTGGTTTTTGGAGCAGTTAATTAAGAGAGGTTTTAACTTGCAGTCACCAGTTGCATTCCTGCCAACCATCACCGTCTATCAGTCTTTAGAAATCTTAGTCTGAAAAGTTTTTTTCTTTACGTGTGATAAAGATTCTTTTAGACATCATCTTCCAGAACAGGCAACTCTCATCCTCATCAAATACAGTTTCACTGCTATAGTCACCTTCTTCTATCATAGCCTTGAGTGTTTCAGGAAAAGAAGACACAGCTTCTTTATCAGCACTTGCTGCCTCTCCACAATGCTGTGCCAATTACAGCAAGTTTTAAATCGGTTGAACTAACCATCACTGGCTACAAAATTTCTATCTTTCCCAGCTGCTTCTTTTAACCTCTCAAAAATCAGCATAAATTGATAACAGTGTTTTTGTTTTGATCAACTGGACAATTCTTAACTTTTACTTGATTATAACACCATAATTTCAGCATTGTTTCCATCTCAGTAGTAATACCATACCATTTGAGAATTCTTTATTTATCTTTTATACTTGTTCTTACTGCAGATTCCAGTAGGTCAAAATCCTTGATAATGTTAAGTTTACATTCCAAAGATATTGTTTTCCTTTCATTTTATTAAGTGCAGGAGAATCAGATTTACTTTGTTTGGACTTTATAGTTTTTTAAGGGTTTAAAAAACATAACAAAATCATCTTAACTTTTGTGGATCATAGAATTGTAATCATGCACTTAGAGTTTGTGTGAAATGCATTCAGTGCATATCACAGTAAGAGAAACACTGAAGATAGCAGGTGGAAGTGTTACCAAACGAAAAAATTAAGAAGCACGTAACTCTGAGTTTGCATAAGTTGGGGTATTCCTGTATTAAAAATGCAAAAATTTCTTTTTCAAAATTATTTGAATTTTTTCTGTGATTTATTATTATTATTATTTTTTTAATTTTGAATTTACTTTATTTTAAATATTTTTTGAATTTATATATTTAAATTTAACTGAATTAATAATAATCTAATTTTTAACAGTATATGGCTCGAAATGAGACTGCTCCAGTGCAGTTAAATGAATATCTCTCAGCCCTAAATGTGTCTATTCAACAATTAACTCAAGTTCTGCAGACAATAAGAGCTCAGGTATCACTAAAAATAAAATTCTTAAAAATATGAAGGCATTTTAATTTTTAATTATTATTTTAAATTAAATAATCAATATAGTTAACATTGGTTATTTCAAAGTATGTAATTAATATATATTAATGTTAATTATATTTTTTTTTTTTTGAGTAACTAAATTTTTTTTTGAATTTTGAATAACTTTTTTTTTGAATAATTAAATATTTGTTACCATTTGAATTATTAAATACATAATTGTTAGGATTCATTAGTATTGTATTAATTATTATTAATTACTATAGAAGAAAAGACTAACATTTTTTCCTTCTATTTTATAGAAACCTTTTCGTTTTTATTCACTTTCACTTATCAAAAGAGAAAAACCCATTGTCAAATTCTTTCTAACTCTAATAGGATCTGAATATATAAAGTCTGAATTAAGAGTTCTTATTATTAGTGTTTTATAGTATAAATTTTACTAAGTAATCACTTGCCCTATCTTTTGTTACATTCCTCTTATGACAATGTAATCATTGTCCTTTTCTTTTGACACTATTTTATAGATAATTGCAGCATACAAGTTCACTTGACAGAATTTGTGTAAAAAAAAACTATATTACATATAAATGTACAAACAAATAAAAACCCAGCAAAGTGGGTACTTGCAGCTAGTGATACCATAAAATTAGAGAGGATACATTACTGAATTCTGCTAATAGCGAGGTTGCAGCCAAAGTTTCATCTCTAAAACGTGAATGTTGAGCACTGCTTACAAGGTAGCAGCAGCACTCAACATTCATGTTTTAAAGATGAAAACTTCGGCCTCAACCCCGCTAATATAATCCAATACTTGCTTCAATCCATATATGGATAGAACAATACAGGTGTTGATAATAAATGAAAGCCTGAAAGCTCATTGGTTTGCAAATTCAAGTGCTTTTCAGATCTAGACGCTATGTAATTGTAATTATCTAGTTTGCATAGGTCTGACTAGCCCGGTTTTAAGAAAAGTAATTTAAAAGCTTCCTTGAATAAATTTATAATGGTTTAGTCAGGTTGAAAAATCGTTATCAACTGGTTTGAAATATTGCCAGACCTGGCACATTGCCTGTCCATTGCAGTAGACCTATAAAATTCGCACAGGCCAAAAGTAACAATAACTGCATGTCACATGGCCATTGTGGCAAATCACATGTGGAGAGGACACTGTCTACTGTCACTTAGTTTTACAGTGCACCATCACCATGTTTGAATGCCTGTCATGCAAAATGATGTGAATAATGTGTATATTTAAAAAAAATATATATATATATATGATAATATTGGTTTGTAGAATGAACTGTTTCAGATTGTTGGAAACATTCCAATAGGAAGATATTAGTTTCAGATTTATTTAGAGCAGTGTTTCTCAACGGGGCGATATCGCCCCCATGTGGGCGTTTTTACATGTTAAGGGGGCGATTAGTAACAATTTATATTTTGGGGGCGAAAAACAATTTTCTGGACGATATAGTAAAACATTATATTAAGAATAATTAGATATTTTATACGTTATATCGTACAATAATTAAACAAATAACATTATACTAGTCACTAGTCCAGGCATGGCCAACATACGGTCCGCAGCCGGATCCGGCCCGTCTAATGAATTTATGTGGCTTGCGATTAACCTTTCAATATTAGCTACTTAAGTCCGAATATCTCGACGAAAAATTCTGATGCCTTAAAAAAAAAAAAAGACCAACAAGTAACTGTGTGCACTCCATTACAAATGTCTTCAGCAACAGCGTAGAATGTTGATAATGCATGATAATGTGAAAGATGTACGTGTAATCTCTATGTACAATTTAGTCTTATGGGGTGGCACAACAATGAGATTTCGCATCACCTCAAAATCTTGCTAGGGCAGCCTCTGATTCGACCCGTGAAAAAAGTTTTCTTTCCAATTCGGCCCGGGGGCAAAAACTGTTGGCCACCCCTGCACTAGCCTATTCAATGCAGTACGAATTTTGTGTTAGTCTTGGCCCTCGGTGTCGGAATTTTGTAGTGAAGAAGGCGATACTACGTAACAGTTTTACTGAAGGGGGCAATGATTAGTTAGAAATTGAGAAACACTGATTTAGAGATTTAACCAATACCAAACATTTTATCATCATTATGTGAAACACCAGGCTACTTTTTAGGCATAACCTGTACACATGGTGATTGTAATTAAAGTACTCCTTTCAATGCTATTCGGAGGAATATTAGTAGTCCAAATTCATCCAGATATTGGTGCTGGTGTTTCTAGAAATGTGAAATAAATTTTTAATGGAAAAAAATTTAGTTTCAAAAGTAAATTTTTGGTGTTATGAGCAGCCAAAAAACAACCTCATTGCAACTTACTAAGGCATTTTAACTCAAGGCATACTTGCAGCATTTGCACTGTTTTCATTAAACAGCTTCATAAGAAAGGTGCATCCTGGCACAGTCATAATTACCAATTTTCAGTATTGTGTTCAGAAATTGACCAAGATATGCATTCATTACACAATGTACTTTTTACCACTCACAGCACCATAAGTTCCATAGTGGTGAATTTTGAAACTTAATTTTTTTCCATGGAAATTTTTTCTGAATGCTCAGAATATTATTATACAAAATATGGAATGAGTTTGGACTTCTGCATATTCATCCAGATCAGTGTTGACTACTTCTTTTACAATCTCCTGTTATTTAAGTTTTAAGCTTATACTTTAATTAAGTTTGTTTATTTTGATTTTGGAGTCTACATTTTTTTTACTGACTCCACATACTATTTTTACTGCCCTACCAAATACATCATATCATTGTTATATATTTCCAAGAACAGATTATGGATATCAATTTCTGTTATTTTCCATGCCTATAGAAACTATATTTCAAGACTTTCCATACAAGATAAGTAGATTTCCAAGAGTCGCCATGTTGAACTACCATAGTTTGTAGTAGTCCAGCAATGACTGTAAACATTAGAATTTCCTATCACATTTCAAAAATATTTGAATTTAAACGAGTTCAGAATCATCTTTGAGAGTAATCATTTTTGGATTCATTATTACAAGAACAAAAGTTAATTCTAATTTTCATATATAAAATCTTAAATGTGATAAAAGTAAAATTTTTTATAAATTATAAAAATTTTTCTTGTTAAAATAGTGTAGTAATTTATTTTATATTCCATATATTAATTAAATTTTTATTATTAAACAGCAGTCGCAAATACATCAGGCTCAGCAAGCTGCTGCAGGAATTAGGTTTCGTAATCCTCCGTGGAATCAAAATAATCGAATGAATCATTTGAATAGAGCAAATCAAACACAGGCATATAAAATAACATTAACCAGAGGCACACCATCTCAAGGACAATCACCAGCTTTGGGAATAAATCAGAATGTTCTACAACAAGGACCTCGAGGACCTACTACAATTAACATTCAGTTACTTTCAAACAATCGCGTACCTGTTATAACTACTACTAGCCAAAGACTACCAGTAAATAATGCTCCATATGCATCATCTGTTCTGAGAGGTCATGCTATTCGACTGGCTGGAAATAACATTTTATTAAACAACAACAACAACAACAACAGGACTACTTTTCGTTTTAGTACCCCCGGAAATACAAATGTGCCTCGATTCAACATAGGCAACGGAGTAACAATAACTCCAATATCTAACCCACATCAGTCTCAACACAATCATTCATTTCCACAAGACTCCACTCAAGAACCTGTTATTACTGAAGCAGAAGACTGTGAAAACCCAGTTCCAAAAATCCGGCCACAAAGTTCTCATACATCATCTGTTACCATAACGGAATTAGAATAATATGATAAATTTTTCACGTGAATTAAATGTTTGTATAGTTCTTTCATCTGTGGCACTTAAAACTTCCTCCAGAAATGGATTGAAATCCATTTGTGATGGGAAATAAACCATTCCACAAATACCAAGGAATATCATCAGTTGTAATGAATGTGATGTGTTCTCCCCTACAAAGACAAGAAGTAAACAATGATAAGTGTTTATTCATTGTAGAAAATGAAATTAATCGTATAGATATGTTTGTTTAAAAAAGTTTTGTTCATTTTTTTTGTTAAGCAAATATATCAGTATATGAACAACGGTGTGATGTTTGAAAATATTTTCTATATGCTTTATAATTTTAATCTAATTTAAACAGTATTCAAACATGTTAAGATATTTATAAAAGTACATTATATATTTAAGTATAAGTCTTGAAAGCATTTTTCAATTTCAGATCATTTGCATTTATTAATATTCAGTTAAATATTAAATCAAATGAATACAGCATACTGTGTGAACTATATGAAAAAAAAGGTGAAAAGTGGGATATAATATTATTCTGTCATCAAAATAACAATTGTGCCAATTCTATAAGTACAGTTAAGTATAAATGTTTTTTCTGTGTGCATATTTATTTTTAAAACATACTTAAACATACATTGTACAAAAATAATCATCATTTCTTTTTTACTTTTGAACATTTAAGTTCAATAGAATAGTGAATACAAGAAACTTTTCAAAATGCCATAACTTGTCAAAAATGTTTTAATTTCTGCAGACACCAGGCAGTCATTTTAATCAACATTATTCATA